ATAGACTCCCTCTGTGGCCTGTTCTGGATGCATAAGGCAACCATTTGGAAGGGAGAGCAGGCCAGAGAGGTGGTACCGCCAGATGCCCTGCTGAGAAGTGTGAGTGCAGGGAAGGTGTTGGCCTGGGAGGTGGAGGCATGGCATGGAGCCAGAGAAGCCCAGGCCAATGTCTCCACATGTCTGGGCTCTGGTTTCTTCTCCAGCAAGACTGAAAGGCTGCACCAGATTTGAGCTGAGTATGTGATGGTCAAGAATTGCTCCAGTCCATTCTCATGACCTCCTTTCCTCCAGAAATCTGCCAGACGGGCTATCCTGGCAGGAAAGCTGGGCCAATCGCTTTGCAGTCCCCAGCCCCATACTCACCCACCTAGAACCAGGCTGGGACAAATATCAAGGGCAGCTCTGGAAGGGGAAAGATCACAGGTGGCAGAAGGCACTGAGGGTGGGTGTGGGCGTGGCTGTGGTGGGCAGTGTGTCAGGAGGGTCTGTCCTACCCTCCTAGCTCTGGCAGAATTATACACATACGAGGCACAAGTGTTTTTCTAGCCCCAGCCTGGGAATTGTCTGCATCTCCCAGCAGCCTGTCCTGTACCTTTCTTTTCTTAGCTGTGCAGCAGAAAGGGCTCTAAAAGCTGAGGTCTGAGACAATGGCTTGATGACTGGGCTTTGGGGCCAGTTTGGTCATGAGCTTCCCTTGGAGCCACTCCCGTTATCAGGAGAAAGAGCCTCAGTGGGCCCGTGGGGAAGCGTGGCACCCAGCCCTGGGAAAGGGGAGGCCTAGAGGAGTGAACCCAGGCCCTGAGGAGCGGCAGGCAGAAGTGGCTTTGCTGAAGCCAAAGCTATGGGCTCCTTTCTCCACCTCAACTGCACAACAGCATGGGGTGGTGCCCAGCTCCTCCAGGCACTGATTGTACCCTTCCCTAAGTAGCAGATAGCAAGGAGTGAAAGCCAGGCTTCTCCCTTCAGGAATCAAGCCTTTTTGCAGGTGGGGAGGGGGTGACAGTCATTAACCTCTTTCAGAACTATTGGAAACTGTGGGCCTTCTTCCCTCAATAATGTGCATCCTCCACATTCTGCAGCCTCTCGGGAGGACTCATGTGCCTCTCCACGGGACCCCAGGGACAGTGCTCCCCAGTGTATGTTCCCTGTTCCACCTGCAGTGAGATCCCCTTCAGGGAAGGTGGCTGTTAGAACGCAGTTATTAGGGTCCCATACTGGATCTGCAGAATCAGAATCTTTCAGTTGGGGGAACCTTGGAATCTGCCCCGAGATGTTCCTTGAGAACAAACTCCTCATGTGAGAGAAGCCCCCAGAGCAGGATCCTTATAACAAGGACCCCAGCTGGCCCTGATGTCGGAGGAAAGTTTTGGGATTAAGAGAGGGCCAAGGGCAGGCTGGCTGATCTCCCTATGCTGGGCTGGAAGAGCATGGGATTGGGAGCCAGGAGTTTTGTGTTCTGGGCCCGGCACTTCCTTGAGCCATGTCAATGATTCACCTCCTGAGGCCTCCCGCTGTTCTTTGCCTCATTGAGGGGATGGAAAGACTGGTGGGTAAGGTTTGCCCACTGGCCTCCGTTTCGCATTTATTGGTGTGGTAGTGTGGCCTCAGAGCAGGCCCAGGGAAGGACCTTTGGGCTTCAAAGCAGTGTATCCACCCACACCATGGTTGCCAGGTGGTTTTACCTGGAGGTTTTAAAAATTTCTTTCATTGCAGTGGCTTGGCTTCTCATTTCTGAAGGTTTAAAAAATATGTACATATGGCCAGGTGCGGTGGCTCGTGCCTGTAATCCCAGCACTTTGGGGGGCCGAGGCAGGTGGATCACCTGAGGATAGGAGTTCAAGACCAGCCTGGGCAACATGGCAAAACCCCATCTCTACTAAAAGTACAAAAAAAAGTTGTACTTTACTAAAGGTACAAAAAAATGTTGTACTTTACTAAAAGTACAAAAAAAAGTTGTACTTTACTAAAAGTACAAAAAAATGTTGTACTTTACTAAAAGTACAAAAAATTAGCTGAGTGTGGTGGCTGGTGCCTGTAATCCCAGCTACTTGGGAGGCTGAAGCAGGAGAATCGCTTGAACCTGGGAGGCAGAAGTTGCAGTGAGCTGAGATCGCACCACTGCACTCCAACTTGGATGGCAGAGCGAGACTCAGTCTCAAAAAAACAAAGTATATATATACATATATATTTTTTCCCACACTTGCATTTTTGTATTATAAAAGTGACATATGCTCATTGCAAAAAAAGTATTCAAACATTACAGAAATGCCTCTCTTCCCATGGCCAGCCCTGATCATATTTCTCAGAGATAATTCGTACTAAAAATTTGATTCTAAGTTTTAATTAAAAAAAAAGAAAGCATGTAGAGCAACAGTGGCACAAGGAACACCTGTGGAGTGTTTACTCCTGATTAGGGAATGTACTTACAAGGAAACCTCACAATAGCCCTGGGAGGTACGGACCTCTCAACCTAGCGAGGATTGAAGAAATTTGATATACACATATACATATACATACACACAAACACCAAACATCTATTTGTACAAAAGTGGGATGATGTTATCCTTATTATACAACTTGATTCTTTCATTCTTAATATATCAAGAACAATTTTACAGAACTGTGCATGTTGAACATTTTAACATCTGCAGTATTCAATGATATGAAATCAGAATTAAGCAATACCCAAATGATTTTTTTTTTTTGGAGACGGAGTTTCGCTCTTTTTGCCCAGGCTGGAGTGCAATGGCTTGATCTCGGCTCACCGCAACCTCCACCTCCCGGTTCAAGTGATTCTTCTGCCTCAGCCTCTCAAGTAGCTGGGATTGCAGGCATGCACCACAATGCCCAGCTAGTTTTGTATTTTTAGTAGAGATGGGATTTCTGCATGCTGGTCAGGTTGTTCTCGAGCTCTTGGCCTCAGGTGATCCACCTGTCCTGGCCTCCTGAAGTGTTGGGATTATAGGTGTGAGCTACTGTGCCCGGCCTGATTTTTATTATTACAAACAATGCTGTAGTAAACTATTTTTTTTACATGTATCTTTGTGTATATGTGTATTTCTGTAGGATAAGTTTATAGAAACAGTAGATCCAAAAGGGCATGCATATTAGTTCATTCTTACATTAAATAAAGAAATCCCCAAGATCGGGTAATTTATAAGAAAAGAGGTTTAATTGGCCCACAGTTCTGCAGGTTGTACAGGAAACATGGCGGCATCTGCTTCTGGGGAGGCCTCAGGAAGCTTTCACTTGTGGCAGATGGAGCAGGCATCTTACACGGCAGGAGCAGGAGGAAAAGAGTGAGCAGGGAGGTGCTGCACACTTTTAAACAACCGGATCTCACGAGAACTTACTATCATGAGAATAGCACCAAGGGGATGATGATAAATCATTCACGAGAAATCCACTCCCACGATATCATGATCTAGCTGCCTCCCACCAACTTCCACCTCCAACACTGGGGACTACAACTCAACATGGGATTTGTTAGGGATACAGATCCAAACCATATCAGCATGTAAATGAAAAAATTTTAATACTTTCCGAACAATCTGGATAACAGGAAATGAAATGTATTTGAATGTCTCTTCTAAGTGCTGAAGGTATTTTCAAATCCAAGTCCAAATATGAGGCTGGCAACAGGACATTTGTTTCCCAGAGCTGGTTTTAGATTCTTGGTTCTGCAACTGAACGGTTATGAAACTTGGAGAAACAAAGAGGGTATGCCTTTCATCGCTCTGGGCCGTGATTTCTACCATGTGAAACAACAGCATGGTAAAATCCTCTCTCTGAAGCCTGTTTTTGTTCTAACAGTCCCCAGTTTGATTAGTGCTTTAGCTCTCTGCCTTTGTTTTCCTATTTATAAAAAAGAATTTTATTCCTTTGACCTTCCAGGATCAATTAGTCAATGGATCCATTAGTGAAGAACTTTCAACCTTGAAGTGCTAAGTAGAGATGTTATTGCTTGTAGAGCAAGCTGATCTTAGCTGCATATGACCTAAAACTGCTGCAACTTCTAAAATAGTTGCTGGGTCTTTAAGAGAACAAGATACTTATTGAATCCAAAAGGCCACTCTGTCTCAGCACTCTGGCTTGTGGGGTTGAGGAGAGGCCGGTGTTTGGGAAGGAGGTGTTTGTTTGGGAAGGAGGTGTTTGGGAAGGAGGTATTGGGAAGGAGGTGTTTGGGAAGGAGGTGTTTGTTTGGGAAGGAGGTGTTTGTTTGGGAAGGAGGTGTTTGGGAAGGAGGTGTTTGTTTGGGAAGGAGGTGTTTGTTTGGGAAGGAGGTGTTTGGGAAGGAGGTGTTTGTTTGGGAAGGAGGTGTTTGTTTGGGAAGGAGGTGTCTGGGAAGGAAGTATTGGGAAGGAGGTGTTTGGGAAGGTGTTGGGAAGGGGGTGTTTGGGAAGGTGTTGGGAAGGGGGTGTTTGAGAAGGTGTTGGGAAGGAGGTGTTTGGGAAGAAGGTGTTGGAAAGGAGGTGTCTGGGAAGGAGGTGTTTGGGAAGGAGGTGTTGGGAAGGAGGTGTTTGGGAAGGTGTTGGGAAGGGGGTGTTTGGGAAGGTGTTGGGAAGGAGGTGTTTGGGAAGGTATTGGGAAGGAGGTGTTTGGGAAGCAGGTGTTCGGAAGGAGGTGTTGGAAAGGAGGTGTCTGGGAAGGAGGTGTTTGGGAAGGAGGTGTTGGGAAGGAGGTGTTTGGGAAGGTGTTGGGAAGGGGGTGTTTGGGAAGGTGTTGGGAAGGAGGTGTTTGGGAAGGTGTTGGGAAGGAGGTGTTTGGGAAGCAGGTGTTCGGAAGGAGGTGTTGGAAAGGAGGTGTCTGGGAAGGAGGTGTTGGGAAGGAGGTGTTTGGAAGGGTGTTGGGAAGGAGGTGTCTGGAAAGGAGGTGTTGGGAAGGAGGTGTTTGGGAAGCCTGATCGGGTATCACATCTCCCTTGCGAATCTTGCCTTCTTGAAGTAAGAATTTGCAACTGTGTGTCCTTTAACAAAGAAGGAATTGTGTGGACCACATCCTCACAGAACATGGCATGTATTACGTGAGGGACTGACCCAATCTGTGTCTGTGGTGTTTGGGACAATAGCTGAGATAATAAGGACTTCCATTTCCCCCAGGTCCTCCAATCATGTCATGTGACCCTCTTAACATCTCTGACGCAATAACCAGACAGGGAATAGTCATCCCCATTGTTAAGATGCAGATGCAGAAATTCAGAGGGGTGTGCTGACTGTCTCCTATCACATGGCAGTAGCGGGTGGCAGAGCTGGACAGTCCCGGCTCCATCCTGGTTCTACCGCCATGGGTCTGGGGTGCGTTACTCCCCAGCTCCTTTCTGCTGGCTCTTTTTAATGGCCGGACTCCTCTTGGGAGCCCTGTCCAGTCGAGGCTTACCCAGCTGAGAAGGTGCAGCACTTCGGCGTTTTGAGGGACACGTACAGCACGCAGCATGAAATGTCTCTGAATTTGGGATCCTGCCGATGGTAAGCTTTAACTTCTAAAACACAGGAAAGAAGAAAGTTCAATGATTGAAGATTATCTTTCAGATTGTTGCTTCCCAATCTGTCCTCATTAATACCCTTGGGAGCTGGTTTTGAAGAAAGTCCTGCAGCGAACTGTAATATCTGGGCCAGAAGAAGACAGGGATGACTTACTTGGCTACTTGGGTGGAAGGTGGATTTTTATTTTCTGGCATCCATGGGGCTGAGCTTTTAAGGAAGGATCCAGGTAGCATTGATGGTGCTCTCAGGGGTCCAATTGCACCAATAATTAAAAGGCCTCTTGAAACAAGTGAATCAATATGAAACCACCAGACAGGACTCACCCAGACAAGATTGGGAGGAAATTGAAACTTGATCAGTTTCTCCTGCAACCTATCATGTCCTTCCCCTGCACACACCTTCTCCCCTTCCTTTGAAAATCTCAGTTCTCTCCCCTCTCAATCCCTGCCCCATTCCCACCCCAACCTCCAATTCCCTCATCCGTAGCATAACAGGAAGGAGAGTAAATGGGATTGATTCAAGCACCTTAAAACATCAAGGGCCAATGGCTGTTCTTCCTTTGCTTCCACGTCTCCCTTTTCCAATATTCGTTTTCCTTCCAGGGACCATGTGTTCGAGTGTTAAAAGAGCAATGGATACCCGTCAATACCAAGAAAGAAGTCAGGAATGGTGGCGGTGGGAAAGTAAAGGAATTTTCTGATCTTACAGATAATCATGAAGATGGATACTGCATATTTCTCAGTAGCATGTAGGAGCTGTTATCAATTGGAAAGGGAAGGCAGAACAAGCACAAGAGAAATGCAGTCGCCCCTTTCCTATGCAATGACTACACAGTCTGGAAAGGCAGTCAGGATAAACTGTAGTCAGCAACACCCAGGTGCCGTTCCTGGATCTGCTCACAGGCAAAGACCCTTTTCCTGGCTTCTGAATTAATGCCTGGATCTTTGGGTCAGAGTAGTGTTTGGTAACTTTCAGAAGAGTTCAGAAGCTTATATTGGCCCCAGTGTATGTGGATCCTTTTTTTTCTTTTTTTGAAACAGTCTCGCACTGTCCGGGCTGGAGTGCAGTGGTGCAGTCTTGGCTCACTGCAACCTCTGCCTCCTGGGTTCAAGCGATTCTCCTGCTTCAGCCTCCCAAGTAGCTGGGATAACAGGCACCCACCACCACGCCTGGCTGATTTTTTGTATTTTTAGTACAGACAGGGAGTTTCACTATATTGGCCAGGCTGGTCTTAAATTCCTGACCTCATGATCCGCCCACCTCAGCCTCCCAAAGTGCTGGGGTTACAGGTGTGAGCCACCTTGCCCAGCCCAGTGTGGATCTTTGGCAGAGAAAATGTGCTATAGGTACCAGATTGTTGGACTGGGGCCCTGAAATCTACTTCTTTTCTGCCATGCACTTTCCTATCCAGTCTTCAAAACCCAAGCCCAACAGCACTTTCTTTGAGACACCATGCTGGCTTCCTTCATACAGATTTACTCCATTCTACCTCTGTGATCCTGTGGCCCTGTGTTCATATCTCAGGGCACACACTGTATTGCAAGTAGCACATAACATGCCTGCTTCATCCACTAATCTGTGAGCTTCTTAAGCTCAGGCTGAGGCCATTTTTGTAGCTCTTGAATTTAGCACAGTATCTAGCACCCAGTAGATGCTCAATAAATAGAAAGTGAATGAATATGTACTTGCTCTGCCACTAACTAGTTATGTATCTTAGACAACTCACTCACTTATCCTCCTGGGATTACTCATTTAGGGTAATGAGTAATAGGGATAGCACAATTTGTATGACCAACAGGACTATTACATAGTGCAGAAGAGATAAGACATGTTCTTAATATAGATACGCTACACAATCACAAAATTCCCAGAGCTGGAAGAAATTTGGAAATCATCTAATACAATGGTTTTCAGAAATTTGAAGCCAAAGAACTGTGTCTTAAGGAAAGCTAACAGGAAAGTCCAACATTTTGGACTAATCTTTTTTTATAAAAGATAAAAGATAAACATGAGCTTCTCTGGTTGAAGACCCAGCATACTCTCTCCTTCCTCTCCTTTCCTTTCACCTCTATCCTAGGGATGTAAGACGTACAGTCTGAAAACCAGCTTCTCACTTTAGTGAGAATAAGCTGAAGTCCAGAGAAGGCAGTGAATTTCCTAAGGTCACAGGGCTAATTAGAAAGAAAAGTAGACCAGGGAAGAAATTAACACATGAAGACTGCAGTGACATGCAGGACAATAGCTAGTCCATGAAAAAACAACATACCCATATATTAGGGTTGGTTTGTTGTTGTTTTTCTTTTGAGACAGGGTCTTGCTCTGTCTTCCAGGCTGGAGTGCAGTGGTGCAATCATAGCACACTGTAACCTTGAACTCCTGGGCTCAATTGATCCTCCTGCCTTAGCCTTCCGAAGTGCTGGGATTACGGGTGTCAGCCACTGTGCCCTTCACCACATATTATGTTTAATTCTTGCAATACTCTATGAGGAAATTAGGGCTGTGACGATTTCTGAGATGAGGAAACTGAGGCTTTAAAAAATGGGCTTGAGTAACATTCCATGGTCAGTTGTAGTAGAAGTAAAAGTAACTAGTAACTTTATTGATTACCTAATATGTGCCAGTCACCTTTGTAAGCACATTATACATATTACCTCATTTAATTATCCAACAACCAGCACTATCATTAGCCATAATTTTACAGAAAAGAAAACTGAGGCACAAATTGGTTGAAGGACCTGGTTTGGAATCCCTGTACCAGTCTGATTGCATGCAAGCTCTTTTTGTTACATCACACTGATCTGAGGTCCTGAACCCAGGTGCTGTGTCTCTTAGCCCAGTGCCTTCTCCAAATGCTACTTGATATGAAAGAATCCTGAAAGAGTCCTAAAAGAACATTCTGTTATTTGCACTTGGTGGTGGAAGAATGAGGAGCCTTATTTATACTCAGGGTACCTCTCAGACTCCATCTAAGACCTTTTTCCTTCTGGTACTGATTTGCCCTGTTCAGGGCTGGTCAGTACAACTCACCTCCTTCTGGATGGACCGGGTGAGAAACAAGGAGAACTCGTCCAGGCTCTGGGGCTTCAGGCCATTCACCGCCAAAAGATGATCTCCGTGGCAAAATATGCATCCCAGACGTGGGGGGCCTTCCCACTGAGACACACTGCAGTGGGAATACAACATCCGACACCAGTGTGAGGCTCAGCCGGCCAGGAGGACAGGGCACACGTGGAGTCTACAGGGAGTCCTGATTCTAGGTCACGTGGCACCACCTCTGAAGTAGACTATCTCCATCTGTTTAGAATATTGTTTCCTCTGTCACTACTACAGGAGCCTAACCCTTTCTCCAAAGCCCAGCTCAAATTATACTGCTCTTACAAAGGCCCATAAAATCGTACATCCCATTCCTCTGCTATAATTCATTTCCCCTACCCCTGGACTTGTATTACATTGTGTGAGTACCTGATTTGTTACATTTTTAAATAAAATGCATTTTACATTTACTTGTTTGTGTGGCTGTCTTTTTTTTTACGAGGGTACATGACCCCAGAAGTATGATGTCACCTTTTTGTTTGTTTTGTTTTTTAATTTTTAAAACCCCATGGTTCCAAGCAAAGAAAGAGGGCTCAGCGTTTGTTGGAAGTGAGGGTGTAATGATTACACAATGAATATCTAATGAACAAATAAATGAATTAAGGAATGAAGCAGCTCAGTTATGGAGGACTCCACAGTTTTGGTCAAGTGTGTATTGAGCCTTGGATTGTGGACTATTTAAAAAAAATGGAAGGTGTGGTTCCTCCCTTCTTAGAACTTATAAGACAACTATTGTGTAGCGTTTACATTAAAGAGTTTTCTTCTCTTACGAAGATGTAATCTTCCATCAAAATAAATTACAAAGTCTTTTTAAAAATGCCATATCAAATAGACAGTGATTGCTTTAAGAAAATTCTCTGCCACACAGTCTTTTGTGTCTGTGTCCGTGACTAGCAGTTTTTTTTGTTTGTTTGTTTGCTTTTTTTACCTTGTGTCTGGAAGTCTTAGAAGCTGATATGCTTTCTTCTTTTAGGCCTCTGATTCCTGTTGACTTCAGTAATTTCACTCATTCATCAAATACTCATTGCACAGTGATCAGAAATGATGTCCTTGGGTCATCTGTATCCCCGCCCATTCTTCCTCCCTTCAAGGAGTCAGAAATGGCTGCTTCCTGAACTTTTGGGTCCTGTTATTCCCCCCTCTCACCTCCCAGCTGACTTTCCTGCACAACAAGACCCTGATTTCGGCCTCAAAGACTTTTGTAACAACAGCAAGACAACAGTCCAAGGTCCCCGACCCCCCAACCCGAGTCAGTGTTGCCAAATACACTGTTTCAAGATGTAACTGTTCTCTTCAAAGCTTCCAGCCCCATTTATAATCCACAACAGTCAAATCTCCAACCTACCATATCCGTCCTGCGGCTTCTGTGAGAGCAAGATAGTTGATGACATCAGGAGGAGAAAGGAAAATGTTCAGTTTCTCCACTTGGCTTTCATCAGGGATATTACTATGAACAAGACATTTGTAAAAGTCACATCAGACAACTGGCCATGGCTCTTAACTGCACTTTCTATTTCTGAGATGATATTGCACAGGTAAAGGTCCAAAACATTTGGAGAATAATATAAATTTAAGTTACTGAAAAATCCTCTTGGGATGTGGTAGTGGATGGTAGACTACGGGAACAGAGGGAAAATGGACTAAGTTGGTTATGTAACTGTCCACATCAGGCCAGTCTGCATATTTCTTTGCTGGAAATGATTCCGTAGAAGAAGGCACGGAAAAGAGTTAAAATTACATCAGTCGTACCAAATGCTCTTGGTATCACTTAAGGCCTAAATAACCCCCTCCTGGTCTATAACTAAGCCCCATGCAACTTGCATGCCCATAATTACACTCATGGGAAAACTGACTGACATGCTATTCAGATCGGTTTGGATCCCAAGTCTTGGGAACTGAAAGACTAGCCAAGGGGTGATTTTTAAAAATAGCTGAAAATGCCACCCCCAGCCCCGGGGACTGCTTTACTTCAGCTCTATCATCCCCTCTCCTTGGCCACAACGTCAATGACAGGGAGAAGATGGTCAAGTTTTTGGCTGACTTGGAGATTTTTAGGAATGGCTTTAAAATTTAATTTTAAGTTAAAAAACAAACAAACAAACAAACAAAACAGTGGGAGGGAGCCTGCCTTGCTCTTAGGGCCCATAAAGTTTTAGAAATTAGAGCTTTACTTGATTAATATAGACAATTGCACAACAGTTAGTGAGGCCGACCCCTTTTGGTCATTTGTGGTCTGTGCTTCCACATCGGCAGGGGAAAGACACCAATCAATTCCTGAGCCTTGTTCTTGCAGGTGGAGGCCCCCATCCTGGGTCTCTGGAAGGGTCTGGGGTTCCTCTTTGCTGCTATCCACAGACTCATGGGATGTCTCTTTGAAAAAACTAGAGTATAAGAAGTTAAAACAAGCCCTATTTTAGCATGTGTTTTTACAGTGTTCCCCTGTGTGTGTCAGATTTCAGTAGCTAACAGCCATGTGAAGACTAGCAAGGTCTTGAAGTATGTCCAACTATCAGAATCACAGCCACAGATAGAATCAAATCCAACAAACTTTCCTTCTAAAAATGGATATGGAATCAAAATTACCCTTTACAGTGTTTGGAGGACAGAAGCGAGAGTGTGAGAGACATAAATGCAAAGTAGAAGATAACTTCCTCAGGAGACGGAAAAGGTCCTGAGGATGTCATCGGTGGTTTTCTGTGGGTGGAGACGTGACTCCCTCATTTTTGTGTGTTGAGATGATGGAATAATATGTGGAACCTGGTCTGTGGTAATGTTTGGCATCAGTTTATCAACTATTGAAATGAACTGACAGTCATTGTTCCATAACAGCAGATGAGCAAAAATCAAATTTTTGAATGGCACTTTGACTTACTAGGATTCCATTGGCTCATAATGACACTCGATTCTTCCAGAGACCTGGTCTGGACCATCAGTTTCAATGGATTCACCAGAATCACTGGAAGCAATGACATTATCCAACTGTAGATAAAAGGAATAGATGTAAGAATCCCAGTTTACCGATAAGTCAGGTACCTTCTTATTTCTAGTGTTAACAGCTCTGGGCTCTGACATAGAGGTACAGTTTCCAGTGGATGAACGTGGTTCTCATTTGGGAAATATCAACTGACCTTACCTCCGTGAGACTGAACCAGCAAAGCTTCTGGAGGACTCAAAGTCAATTTTCTTCTCCTGGATCCCTCATGTGGCTGACACAAGTGTTATTTCTATTGAAACTAAATTGCTATTTATCTTTCTGTTTCACCATTAGGCACTTAATGACACGAAAGCGTTTCCCCAATCAGTTCTACTATAGAATCATGGCACTTGGCTGGGTCAAAGACTTTGACACAATGTGTAGCTGGTCTCAGGCTACTGTGCTCACAGGCAGGCCAAGTGGCTTCAGGGATGCTACAATGGTCTAGGAAAACACTGCCCTTAGGAAGCTCTCAATAGCCCCCTTAGAACAAGGAGAGTCACTTGTGGCGATGATTGCTCAGAAACCCTAAGGCCTACCTAAGTTCACCGTTAACCCATGATGGAAACCTTCCTTCCAGTCAAGCCAGTCTTCCCATTGGCCCCCTGCAAATGGTGCTCTTCTGTCGCCATATTCATGCAGTCTTCTTCACCTAGCGTGCCATCTTTCCTTCCTGCCTACTGAAATCATGTTCAGGCCTGCCTGAAGTCCCACAGCCCCCTCTGATCACCTCAGTTACTGCAGAGGTCTCCTTTCAATTTCCATTGCATAGTTTTGTACTTATTTATTTATTTTTTTGTCTTTTTAGCTTAGTTTTGTCTGCTTTACTAGACTTTGCCTATCATAAAGTACCTAGCAAAGGCCAGGCCTCTAACTGATGCTCAGTACACGTCTGATTGGTTGGCTGGACTATCATAAAAGACTGCATCCCAGGAAACACAAACATGAAAATCTTTTGGTGAAAGAAGAACTATGTGCTCAAAGGAGCTTGGGAAACACCATGTGTTGTATTTGACTTGACTATTTACAGTGCACCACTGCATACTAAATGCTCTGAGAATTCTGCTAAGAAGTTTGTTTAACTTATTTTAACTGGGTGTTTCCAGAATTTATTTGACCCCAGAATGTTTCTTTTATATAAACATATGTCACCCTCTTACGGAAAACCCTCAGTTTGGGAAATGATGCAGCATTGCCACCCTCCATTCTGTCTTCCTATCTCTCACTTCCATTCTCTTCTCTCTATAGTCCACAGCGGATACAGCTGCTGGGTTAATACTAATGGAGGATAATTCAGGTTTTGATACTTCCCAACTCAGAAGCCATCGCTTCCCCTATGCTGTCTACAGAATGAAGTCAACTTGGCATTCAAAACCCTTCATGGGCTGGCTCTTTTCTTCTGTTTATCTCCCACTATGCCTTTCACACACTCTAGGATGCAGCCTCACTGAACTATTCCCCATGCATGTATCAAATGGCACTTCATCCCGGAAGCCTTCCTTGACTCTAGTAGAGACAGAAAATCTGCTCTTTTTCTATTGCTTCCGGAGCATACTGACCACGTCTTTTGTGCAGCATGATCCTGTGGTAACTGACAAGACTATGCACTCAGCAGGGTGATGTCAGGCTCATTACTTTAGCCACCGTGCCCAGTACAGTACAGTGACTACTGCTCAGAAGGCATTCAGTAAGGGCCTCCAACTGATCAATAGACTGATCAATACACAGCACACAACTGATCACCCAAGCACCTTGACTCACATTATTCTTTCTGCTAAGAATGCAGAAAGACTCCTCAAGGCAATCCCCCACATCCAGCTTTTACTCATCATGTATGGTCAAATGTCATCTCATCCCTGAAATCTTCCTGATTTTTTGTTTGAAAGTCATCTCCTCCTCCCATTGCTCATGCACCCCTAGAATTTTATAAGCATCTCTCTTCAGCATAGAACCCTTCTGTCTTGTATTACAGCTGGCTCCTAGCCAAGTGTCAGCGCCATGAGCACGTCATCTGTATTTGATTTACCTCTGTGTTCCCACTGACCCTAGCCTAGTATTGCACGAAAAGTGCATGGCAGGGTTTCAGTAAATATTTGTGAAAGAAACAAATGATGAATGGACAAGAAAGGGTTACCTCTAGAAGAACACTTCGAGGAGTAAGATAATAATTCTCTTCCTTCACATCTTGAGTGGTTTCTGGTAAATCTTGTAGATGAGCTTGCCTAAATCCTGGAGAACTTTTTTCCATTAAATGCTGAAGAAAAGAGATAAAAATGCTTTGCTTTTTCTTTGCAAGAGATAGAATTAAATCACACATGGAACCATTTGGTCATTGCTGGAAAACCCCATAATCAAATTAGGTTGGGTTTTAAAAAAGACCAGAGGGGGTCTGTTCCCAAGGGTTAACAGTCTGGGAAGGCCTTCCAACAACAGACCTTCCAACATCTGGCCACCCTCCTTTGAGTCTGGGTCACCACTGAGGATGAAAAAATATAAGCATAGCACTCAGGCTTTTTTTCCTCTACCATTTGGAACAGTCACTCAGAACAAGTGGTTTTCTCCTGTGGGTGGTATTCTTTTTTTTTTTTTTTTGAGACAGAGTCTTACTCTGTCACCCAGGCTGGAATGCAGTGGCGCAATCTCGGCTCACTGCAACCTCCACCTCCTGGTTCAAGTGATTCTCCTGCCTCAGCCACCTCAGTAGCTGGGAATACAGGCACGCACCACCATGCATGGCTAATTTTTGTATATTTTTTAGTAGAGATGGGGTTTCACCATATTGGCCAGGCTGGTGTCAAACTCCTGACCTTGTGATCCACCTGTCTCGGCCTCCCAAAGTGCTGAGATTACAGGCGTGAGCCACCATGACCGGCCCTGTGGGTGGTATTCTAAGTCACTAAGCTCTGGAGTTGCCACCCTCATCTTTTTCCTGTTATCATCCAATACCATCTGAGAATGTAATTAACCCAGAATCTAGGCGCTGCACCTCTGCTGTTCCTGCTCCATATTTTTCTTTTGTGTTCTGTTCACATACTTCTATTGTTTCCATGGCAACGGAATTTGGTTGTGTTGATCATGTGATAGTATGAATTATAGGTTTCCATCTAGATTCAACCACTATTGCCTCCCCTTCCCCATAGATACACAATATTCTACTAAAGTAGCTTCTTCGCGTGGCAGAAAAATTCCAAGAACAATGCCTCAGAGCAGGGGGTTTGGAAAAGACCCTGAATGTTCTCTAGGAAAAAAGTCAAGTGGTTTTTTTTTTTTGTTTTTTTTTTTTTGTTTTTTTGTTTTGTTGTTGAGATGGAGTCTCCCTCTGTCGCCCAGGCTGGAGTGCTGTGGCCGGATCTCAGCTCACTGCAAGCTCTGCCTCCCGCGTTTACGCCATTCTCCTGCCTCAGCCTCCCGAGTAGCTGGGACTACAGGCGCCCGCCACCTCGCCCGGCTAGTTTTTTGTATTTTTTTAGTAGAGACGGGGTTTCACTGTGTTCGCCAGGATGGTCTCGATCTCCTGACCTCGTGATCCGCCCGTCTCGGCCTCCCAAAGTGCTGGGATTACAGGCTTGAGCCACTGCGCCCGGCCAAAAGGTCAAGTTTTTAAATATACGTATGTTTAAGTTCTGTCCATGTTTTAGGCTCCAAGCTCATGGGGCCAGATTATGCTGAGTTGGGGGTAAAGGAAATCCACTTAATTTAACCATCACCACCACCATCACCCAGCAAGGCAAATAGTACTATTAACTCGAGCTGGTTTAAAAATCACTGGATCTATAGTGTGAAAAGGCAAGATGACAAATAATGTTATCTCTAGGGGAAAGGAGATATCATGAGTGAAAAGCAAGAGGTGCTTACAGAAAAGGGTGAAGCTTCCTAACTGCTGCATACCACCGTTTCTACTCACTAAATGAAGAACTGAGGTGAAGTGTTTGGCATGGTGAATTTGATATGCTACAAAAAGCTTTCAAAATAGTTGGAGAGCTACCAACTAGATAAAATAAGGGGCTAGGACTCATTAGATGTACTTGGTATACATGGACAGGGCAAAGTCAATGGATAAGTCTTTAAGAGACAAAATAGTATCTGTGCCAGAGGACAAAACCACTCAGCATGTTTATGACTAATATCCCAAGTTGGGAACATTGCAAATCCAAGAAAGCTGAAGGTCCAATTACAAGTCGCTTTCAAGAGGCAGATTACATTATATTTTATGTCTTCAAATGGATTTCATTAGAAATGAGGATGAAGTGAGAGACAGCTATAATGAATGAGAAGCAAGATTGATCAAGGTAAAGGGAGGAAATTAACAAGAAACTTGGCCTTTGCCTGAGGAATACAGACAGAATGGGCAGAAAACAGGTGGTGTCTGGGAAATCTTTTGGCAGAGGGATCTGTGCCCTCTGTGTGAAAGAAAGGAAGAAGTCGCCGGCCAGGTTTTGGTTTAGCAAAGGGTCTTACACTAGCATACCCAAAGCATATCAAGAGCATCCAAAATCAATGAATACACTGAGACGTATTCAGGGCAAGCCCTGAGTGAGGCTCATCTGTGGTATGGGATAAACATCAGGGCTAAGAATCATTCTTATAGTGCATCGGGCTTTGAGGAAGGTGGGCGTGGTTAAATTCAATTGCTAATTGGTAAGATTTTTAAGCATTAGCTGACTCCCAGGTGTGCTGTCCTGAGAAAGAAGTGAGCCCCATTACCGTGTCCTGGAGACCATTTCTTGGTGAGCTGGAACCAACAGCCTCCGATGTGCTGGGAGGGCCAAGGAGAGGGCTGGGATAGAAGAGGGTTCTTTTATTACCCAATGAGAGTTCCTCCTGCTCACAAAAAAGGAATCAGTCAGGGCACCGTTGATCTCCATCTGGAATGAAACAGCAGCCTCTCTACTGTGCTCCTTGCCTCCCGTCTTTCCCCACAGTGATCTAACATTCATGCCACTGGCCTGCCAGCATTATCTCACCAAGAAAAGAGCCGAACTTGTCTCTCTCCTGTTTCTAAACCCTTGAGGACATTTAGCATGACCCTCAGAGATGGCCAGCGTTTCCCTCCACCTGTCTTCTCAACTGTGTCTCTTTCTGACGTCCTCTGCCCTAGTTCCCTTTGCTCTAATCATTTCAGTCTACTTGAAGACATGCCTTGATTTCTCCTTCTCTTTGGCTTTTGCTGTAAGCATGGAACAACCTAGAAAACATGTCAAAAAAGATACCTAGGGGCCAAAGTTCCATCTATAAAAGTCTGCCCTGAGAAAGGACTTGGGAACATTAGCAGAGGCCCTTTTGAAATAAATTTAAAATGTAAAACTACTAAGCACGTACATGAAAGATACGTTATATTAAAAATGCAAGATACATGAAAAACATTTTTTTAGAACCTGCCCTAGACTTAATCATTCAAAAGGGAGCTTGTCATGCACCTTGAATAACAACGATGGAAAATACTATGTTCTAGCTACTACTTAAAAATGCCACAGTTAACTTTTCCTCCCTCTACCACAATAATAAAAGTCTGAAGTGTCTGTATTTTAGCTCTCTCACAAAACACAGAAGAATTTTTTTCTATTGTTAATCATAAAAAGTAATAAGGATGTACATTTTCTCACTTATTTATTCCTTGTATTAACGCCAGTTGCTAAGGAGGCAAAGGAAAGCTACCATTGTTTTCTATTGAAAGAGGGTTGTATTCAGGTGCCCTGTTATTTTGTTAGTGATATGGAGTCACCTCTGTGTTCTGATGTGTTGCTTTTATAACCTGGAGAAATGATGACATGAAGGAGACCCAGTCTTTAATCTTCTCCCTGTTGATAGGAATAAACTTTTAGCTGGCATGTGGCAACAATAGTGCTTGTACTTCTTTTGAACCAGAGAAGGATTCTTTTATGAAGGTTAGAATGGCGGTGAGAGCGGGTACCAGCGAAGTAAGAATTTTTCCTAAGTAGTTTAAATGCCCTCGCCACCTCCACATTTGCACACTAGAATTAATGCTCAGCCACCTCTGCAAAGAAAGCTCAGAGAAAGGGAAGAAAAGTAGAAAATAATAGTAGTAATCACAGGGTTTGGGGCTTTCGGCTTTGACACTGATTTCCTTTATGTTCTCAAGCCAGCCCCCTAACCTGTCAGTGCCATTTTTGTGTAACTATGCAGGTGGGCCTTCCCTTAGAAAGTGCACATGTTGATGAAGAATGTGCTTGAATGAATTCATATAATCACATCTTTTCTATGGACTCACAGGACAACTTAGAAGAAAGCTTTGGTCAATCTGAAACAGATCAGGGTTTTTCATATGTTGGCTTTGGCACTGTCCACCTCCTCTGCACAGTCTCCCCCACACCAGCTTTGCCTCTCCCTCAGGCAGATAATCATCCATGAAGAGTCCACTAGGCACCTTAGCTAGAAGCAGAAGCCCCTCTTAAAAACTTCAGACTCCTTTGGGGGCAAGCCTAGTTCCTCCCTAATATATGTAGCTTGGTGGATGTTTTTGTATTGGGTTCTTTTACATGGAATGCTTCTGGGGTGATGGTGACTGTTATTGGTTGAAATGCACGCTCCCCACCCAATTTGTGTGTTTCAGTTCTATATCCCAATACCTCAGAATGTGACCTTATTTGGAAAGAGGGTTGTTGCAGATGTAATTGGTCAAGATGAGGTCATACTGGAATAGAGTGGGTTCCTAATCCAATATTACTGATGGTCTTATAAAAAGGGGAAATTTGGACACAGAGCTATGCACACAGGGAGAACACCATGTGAAGACTGGAGTTATGTTGCCACAAGCCAAGGGAACTACCAAGAGTTAGGAGAGGCCCCTGGAATAGATCCTTCCCTGGAGTCGTCAGAGAGAGCATGGCTCTACCAATACCTTGATTTCAGACTCCTAGCCCCTGGAACAGCGAGACAATACATTTCTGTTGTTCAAAGTTACCCAGGATGAGGTACTTTGTTACAGCAGCCCTAGGAAACTAGCTCAGTAACTTTTCAAGATACTTTAACAAATAGCAAAGATTGCCAAGATGGCATCTGAGGTTGTAGCATGGGTTCAGAAACTGTTTATTGGTATAAAATGTTTTGTTTTTTGGTTTGTTTTTGTTTTGCATGCAGTAGACATTATGCGTTATCTTACTTCTCTCACCTGTCATGGCCGATGAGGAAGTATTCCCTGTTAGTGGTTCTGATGGACATGACCTCATCAGGGTGGCATTTAAACATCTTCTGCACAGATTGCATCTTTTCCTGGTTACTTATGCCAACTTCTACACTGGAATTTCTGTTAGATATTGACACAAAGTATTAAACCAAGGTAAATACAGAAATAGAAAACTGACTAATATTTTATATTGGGATTCAAATGGAATAAAACTTTAGATGTGCTGGATCCATGTTTTGAAGATTGTCCAATAATTTTAGAAGATAAGTTTGGATTTTTGATCTGGTTAATTAATAATTGAAATTATTTGGTTTAGCCTAAGATTCAAAAATTTCTATTTTAATTGGATTCTTGATTCCACAAATTATCTTTTTTAATTTTTGGGTGCACAATTTATTAAAGAGAAGACCAAAAAAAGCTGATCTAAATATTTTTAAAAACTCTTATCTTAACTTTATAAAATGAAAATTTCATCCGCTCCCTCTCATCCACAAATTACGTGAATCAAACTCCCTAACGGAATGCCTGTTAATTAAAGACTTACCAAGTATGGCATACAATATGAAACAAATATTCAACTATCTTTTACTTAAGGTGCTCACTATTTTAGCTCCTATTCAGTCACAAATATTATAATAAGCTTGAAGCCTTTGGTTCCTTTGGTCAATTATGTAAATTTCAATTTGCATGCAACTTGTTACTGTTTGACTTTATAGTATTTGTTGTTATAAAAGTTTTCTTGCTTGGATACACACTGATCAATTTCAATGGACCCTCGGTGATGATGGTCTTTGTAATAAGAAAGACTAAAGCTCTTTTCCCCAGTCCTTGACAGGATGAAAAACCGCTTTTTCCAAGAGGTCTGAAAAATAGAAAGATTTTATGTCTTAGTTAAATCTCTGCGGAAAAGAAAGGATTTTTAAAAATGCTCATGAGGCTGGTGGGAGGCTTGTTAAATCATAGCAAATACTTACCACAGAGAAGAACAGCTGAGAAGGTGGTGATTTAATAAAGTAATCTTGTTTGCAGACTTCATTTTCATAAGAAAATGTAAATTGTTTGCCTAATGAAAGTGAACAGAACTCAGTTTGTTCCTCATACATTTCTGAAAAGAACTGCCTCAATTGGAAAACACTATTTATCTCTGGAAAGACCTTCAGATTATTCAGTAGTTACGGAAAAGAACACCTATAATAACCCAAGAAAACAAAGGACCAAATGTGTGATTCTTATTCCTCCACAGCCAAGACCTTCATTCAAACAACATTTGAAAGCATGTTAATTCAGCTCACACCTGTCTGGCTTTCTGTTTCTAGAGTACATCATTGGCTCTCTACGTGTGAGCGAAGATTTGGCTCTTAGTTCCATTGCAGAAGCATGATAATTTTGCATTGCCCTTTGGCTTAGCAAACAAAATCAAAAGCACCTGCTGTTAAAAATGATGTGGCAAAAACTATTTGGGGAAGGGGGACAGGTAGAGCTCTGCAGAAGTTGGGAAAGGAGGGAAGGTAAACATAGCCACCTCCCCAGAATTACTGGATGCTATCCTCATAGCCCCAGCAGCTGTATTACCAAATTTTGAGTCTGTTTTCACTTAATAAAGAAGCTCTAATTTTTTAGTAAAGACTGCCCTTTCCAAAACTGAGGATGAACTAAACCTATAGCCTGGATGTGAAAGCAAATCCAAGCTAAAACAAAAACAAACCCAAAACAAAAAAAAACAAAAATAACAACATCGTGTTTAACAACATTAATTGTGTTTTTCTAAATAGTGAATGTAATACATATTTATTGTGGACATTTTAGAAAATATAGAAAATATTAAAACTGCCTATAATTTCATCACTCACAGAGAAGCAGTGAACATTGTAGAAACTTCTTTATTTAATCACTTCTGCCACCCCATTTTCAATAGTGAGTTGTTTTGCTTTTGTCTGCTAAGCCAAAGGGCAATATATACCGTCTCCCTAAGTATTCAAGAGTGTTGATTAACACATGTGGGTGCTGAAACTACCTGAGGCCAGAGAAAGAACCATTAAAAAAATCAGAGGCTCAGAAAAAGTGCCTGTTACCTCCAGCCAGACTGGAAAAACTTATAATTTACAGGGCATTGGACAGAGTTCTCAGGAATGTCTTGCCTCAGTGTGAGGAATAATTCGCTGTATACTAATTACTAGCTCTACACCGAGCACTGCTCCAAACCCACCTAACAAATCATAAAAGACTTAGGAGAAAGTGGTTTCCAAAAAATTTAACTGCATCCCAGAACAAAGCTCAAGATTCATAGGAATACAAAGATATTCAGGACCCAACAAGGTAAAATTTGCCATGTTTGGCAGTCAATCCAAGTTTACCAGGCATACAAAGAGGAAGGAAAGCATGATCAATAATGAGGGAAAAGTCAATCAATAAAAACAGGCCTAGAACTGACACAGATGTTAGAATTGGCAGAGAAAGTAATTAAAGCAGTTATTATCAGTGTTTTCAAGAAGTTAGGGAGAGATATAAAAGATATAAAGAAGACCGAAAGTGAAATTTTAAAGATGAAAGCTACAATGTCTCAAAAAAACAGCCACAACACTGGATGGGAATAAGAGCAGATTAAATATTGGACAAGAAAAGATTAGTGCACTTAAAGGCATGGCAATTGTAACTAACAACATAAGCAAAGAGTTAGAACATAATGTAAAAACTCAAAAAGAGCACCAGTACACTGTGGACAATTTCAAGTAGCCTAGTATACAAGTAATAGGCGTCCCTGAAGTGACAGAGGAAGAAATAAAAAATATCTGAAGCAATAATGCTAACAATTTTATAAACCTAAAACTATAATCCCAGAGATCCAAGCAGTTCAATGAAGCTCAGCACAAGATACACAAAGAAAAGTACATCAAGGCATGTCATAACTGAATTGTTCAAAACCAGCAATAAAGAAAAAAAATCTTAAAAGCAGCCAGAGGAAGAAAAGACCTATTATATACAGAACAAAGACAAGAAATAGAGATACTGATTTCTCATCCAAAAAAAAATGCAAACAAGAAGAAGTAAAACAATATATTTAAGGGTTGCGTGTGGCAGCTCACGACTGTAATCCCAGTACTTAGGGAGGCTGAGGCAGTGGATTTCCTGAGATCAGGAGTTTGAGACCAGCCTGGCCAACATGGCAAAACCATGTCTCTACAAAAATACAAAAATTAGCCAGGCGTAGTGGTGCAAGCCTGTAGTCCCAGCTCCCTGGGAGGCTGAGGCAGGAGAATGGCTTGAACCTGGGAGGCAGAGGTTGCAGTGAGCCGAGATAGCGCCACTGCGCTCCAGCCTGGGCGATAGAGTGAGACTCCATCTCAAAACAAAAAAACAAACAAACAAACAAACAAACAAACTATATTTAAAGTACTGAAAAAATACTCTTTAAAAATTCTATATTCAGCAAAACTATCTTTTAAAAATGAAGGCAATTTAAAGACTTTTTAGATACATAAAAGCTGAAATAATTCATCATTAGGAGGCTTGCAGTATAAAAATATCAAGGGAAGTCCTTCAGGAAGAAGGGAAATGATAACATAAAAATCTGAATTTAAACAAAGCAATAAAGAGCACTGAAATGGTAACTACTGAGGTAAATGTATGAAATTATTTTCTTGTTATTGAAAACACTGAAACATCAACTGACTGTTTAAACAAAAATAATGCCAATGTATTGTGCAGATTATAGCAAATGTACAAGTAAAATGCATTCCAACAGTAGCATAAAGGCCAATAGGGAAAAATGGAAATACATTTTTGTAAAGTTCTTTTATTATATGTGAATTGGTATACTATCACTTGAAGTTAGACTGTGATGTGTGTAAACCCTCAAGCAATCAGTAAAATAACAAAACAGAAAGTAATGACTAATAAGCCAACAAAGGAGATAAAGTGGATTCATAAAAAATTTGATTATTCTGAAAGAAGGCAGAAAAAGGGAAAGGGAGAATAAATAACCAATAGGACAAATAGAAAATAAATAATAATATGATACACTGGACTATATCAATAATCATGTTAAATGTAAATGGTCTAAATACCTCAATTAAAAAACAGAGATGACCAGATTGGATAAAAAAGCAAGACTCAACTCTATGGTGCCTGTAAGAAACACACTTTAAAGATGAAAATACAAGTAGGTTACAAGGAAATAACTGGAAAAAAAGATATGCTATGCCAACGCTAGTCAAAGAAAGCTGGAGTGCCTGTATTAACATCAACGCAGATTTTAAAGAAAATAATATTATCAAGGACAAAGAATATCATTTCATAATAATAAAGGGATGAATTAATCCTAAGAGGACATAAAAATTTAGACATATATGCCCCTATAACAGAGCTTTAAAATACATGAAGCAAAAACTGATAGAACTGCATGAATAAATGGACACATCCACAATTATAGTCAGAAATTTTAACATCCCTCTCTCAAGAATTGATAGAACAAATAGTTCTAAAATAGATATTTTAAATTTTGGATGCATTTTTAATGTTTTAAATAATAAGCTTACTAAGAGATTTCAATCAAGAAGAGTGATGCTGGCCTCATAGAATGAGTTGAGAAATATTCCCTTCTCTTCTGTTTTGTAGAAAATCAGCAAGAATACAGTAGGCTTGAACAATGCTACCAACCAACTTTACCTGATTGATATTTATAGAACACTCCACTCAATGACAACAGATTATACATTCTTCTCAAGGGCACATGTAACATTTATTAATATAAATTATATTCTGGACCATAAAACAAGTCTCAATAAATTAAAAAGCACTCAAATCATATAAATCGTGTCTTCAGAGCACCAGGAAATCAAATTATAAATCAATAACAGAAAGACCTCTTAAAAGATCCTGAAATAATCTCTAGATTTAAAAAATCCCAAAAATAAATTTGCGAGTTTTTTATACTGGATGACAATTAAAACACAAGATATCAGAATTTGTGGATGCCACTAAAGCAGTACTTAGGGAGAAAAATTTTTAATGCCTTTGTTAGAAATGGCCATGTTTGAAAAGAACAAAAGTCTCAAATTAATTACCTCAGCTTCCACCTGAAACTGAACATGAAACTGGAAAAAAAAAAAAAAAAAAGAAAGAAACCTAAAGTAAATAGAGGAAGCAAGATAATAAAGATAAAAGTGGAATTCAATGAAAGAGAACATAGAAAAACAACAGAGACAACCAATGAAACCAAAGTTAATCCATTAAAAGGATTAACTTAACAAACCTCTACCTAGGCAGATAGACCAGAAAAACTGGAGAGAAAACACAATTTACCAATATTAGGAGGAGAGAGGGGACATATCTACAGAGTCTACTGCTATTAAAAGGATAATAAAGAAATGTTATGGACAACTTTATTCCAATAAATTTGGCAACTTAGATAAACTGAAAAATTCCTTGAAATACACCAACAAAGGTCACTGAAGAAGAAATAGATGACCTGAATAGCCTCCTATAGCTATTAAAGAAATTGGAATTGTAGTTAAAAATTCTTCACATAAGGAAAACTTTAGGCCCAAGTGGCTGTACTGTTCACTTTGATCAAACATGTAAGCAAGAAATCATCAATTCTACACAAAGGCTCCCAAAAAAATTGAAGACAAGGGAATATTTCTCAACTCATTCTATGAGGCTGGCATTACTCTTCTTGATTGAAAACTCTTAGCAAACTTATTGTTTAAAACATTAAAAAATGCATCCAAAATAAGTAAAAATAAATAAAACATCCAAATTGAAAAGAATGAAGTAAAATCATTTCTATTTGCAAGTGACATAATCTCATATGTTAAAAATCCCAAAGAATCCATGAAAACTACTAGAGCTAATAAACAAATTCAGCAGTATTGAAGAACAACAGACAAAAGTTAGCTATATTTCTATGAACCAGCAATAAAGAATCCAAAAATAAAATTATGAAAACAGTTCCATTTACAATAGCATCCAAAAGAATAAAGTACCTAGGGATAAATTTAGGCAGATAAAAACACTGGTACACTGCAAACTAGAAAAATTGCTGAAATAAATTAAAGAAGACAT